GCCTCCTGCTGCTCCTGCTCCTGTTCCTTCTGCCCGTTGCGTTCCTCTTCGCGGCGTTGCTCACACATCCAGTTGCGAACGCAGCTCCGCAAGCAGGTCCGCCTCGCCCTTGTCATGCTCCTCATCCCCCTCGTCTTCCTTATCGTCCTCCTCCTTCTCATCATCTTGCTTCTCTTCGCCCTTCATCCTGCTCCCTTCTCAAAAGGATTCATATTGAAACCTTTGACAAAAAATAAGGCGGATGAGGAGGAGGAGGAGGAGAAGATGAGGCGGACGAGGGAAAGGTTTTTACTTAAAGCCACCACAGAAGGATTCCGAGTGACATCCTCCACAGCAGGGTGACACCATTCACTAGAAGGAGAAGTAGGCGGATTAGGAGGGCGAGGGGAAATGAGGCGGATGAGGAGGAGGAGGAGGAAGGAGGAACTCCTCCACATAAGGAGTCCTATTGAAATCTTCCACCGGCAAATCCTATTGAAATCTTCCGCAGAAGTATTCCTATTGACATTCTTCACAGAAGGAGTCCTTTAGAAATACTCCACATAAGGGTTTGTGTTGGAACCTTTCACAACGAGCATACCTAGGCGGATGAGAAGGACGAGGAGGAGGAAGATGAGGCGGATGAGAAGGAAGAGGAGGAGGTGGGATAAGATCCTCAGCAGAAGGATTCTTAGTGATCGATTGCAACCAAATCGATTGTATTGCAATGCGCCGCGAAAGATTGCAGTCGCTTCGCATTGAAGTGCTTGGAATGCAACCCCTTGGCTTTCCTTCGAGTCGGTGCCACTCCCTTGGCGTGCAATGTATTTGGTTACACCAGCTTCTATTGCAATCGACTAGGTTGCGGCTGGCAACGTAGCAAAAAATCATGAAGAGGAAGGAGGGAAGGGGGAGGGAGGACTGGAGGGATGAAGGAAGAATGTGTGTGATCGTGTGGGGGGCGGGGGGGGGGGGTCAGATGCTTATACATATTCATATACGTATATATATATATGTATACACATGTAGAGATGTGTATATTTTTATAATATCTGAATACATAACAATTCAGCGCGGAGGCCCCCAACAATCCCCGCGAGAGGATCCCAAGAGGGTTTTCAATAATCCCTCCCAAAAACCAGGGGCCCTACGCGGGCCATGCAGTCCTTTCGATTTAGGTCAATCTGCCGGCTCGTCGTCGCCGTCATCATTTTCTTCTCCCCCCCCAACGAGCCCAACGGACAGAATCGGGGCGTCCCGTTCTTGTCCGATCAGGTTTTTTGAGCATCTCCCAGAGCTCGTGTGATGGAGGGCGGATCTTTTGCAAGACGAAGCCGTCGCCTAGAAAGGGCGGGACGTTCGTCTTTCACGGGGGCGCCTCTCGTAGTGAACCGGAGTGATTTCGAGGTTGTTCGAGAAGGGGGTCGGGAGGGCGCATTGCAGCATCGATGCTCTCCTCCCCTCCTCGTTCTCCCAACCATCCTGTGGTCTTGGGTCCTCGTTTTGAAGAGACAGCGCCCCGCGTTCCTCACTCCTCACTCTTGTTTTCGTGGTTCCTCCTCCCTCCTCCTATCATTGCCTCGGCCCTCCGCGTGTCTTCGTTTCGGCACGCCCCTCACGCGTTCCGTTACCCCGCACGGAGCTCCACCGTGGGCCGCAGCGGCCACGGTTGCATTGTACCACCGCGCCCGCGTCGGCACACCCGTCAGACGCTTCGTGGCCCCATGGGGAGGTCCACCGAAGGCCCCTGTGGCTGCGCTTGCATGGCACCACCGCACGCGTTTCTGCACGCTCTTTACAAATTTCGTGGCCCCGGATGGAGCTTCACCGGAAGCCACAGTGGCTTCGCTCACATGGCACCACCGCGCCCGTTTCGGCACACCACACTCTTTTCGTGGCCCCGTATGGAGCCCCACCGAAGGTCCCTGTGACTGCGCTCGCATGGCACAACCTCGCCCAGTTCGGCAGATTTTTCACACGTTTTGTGGCCCCATAGAGAGCCGCACCGAAGACCCCAATGGCTGCGTTCGCGTATAACCACCGCTACCAATTCGGCGCACCACTCAAACACTTCGTGGCCCCATATCGGGAGCTCGACAAAAGGGCCCCAGTGGCTGCACTTGCATGACACCATCGCACCAATTGTGGCACACCCCACACACGTTGCCCCACACGGAGCTCCACCGAAAGCTCCGGCGGCTGCGCTAGCATGGTACCACCGCGCCAGTTTCGGCACACCTGTCACCCGCGTCGTGGTTCCATGAGGAGCCCCACTGCAGGCCCCAGTGGCAGCTCCCGCATTGTACCACCGCGCCCAAGTCGGCATATCCTTCACAAGCGTCCTGGCCCAACAGAGAGCTCCACCTAAGGCCCCAGTGGCAGCGCCCGCGCTGCACCACCGCACCCGTTTCGGCACACCCCTCGCACGTTCCGTGGCCCCATCACTGCGCCCACATGGCACCACCGCGCCCACTTCGGCACACCCCTCACACGTTTCGTGGCTCCAGAGGGAGCTCCACCGAAAGCGGTCGGTACCCACAACACGGTTCTCACAATTGCATAGTGTTAGGTCTTTCGCCAAGATGATTCTGTTCCGTCGCCCCGATGTCGTCATCCTTATTTCGAGCCCCTAACCACTCGTCCTCCCCAGCTGTGCCTTCTTGCGGCCACGCAGAGTCCTTGCGTCATGGAGTGCGCATTGTTGGACGAGGAGGAGGGGAGGACGACGACTACGACGATGACGGAAAGGATGAGGAAGATACTGGGGAAGACAAGGATGACGAGATTGACAGGGAGGATGAGGAACCAACGTCGAAGAGGAGGGTGGGATGACGAGAGCAACAAGCCGACGAGAAGGTGGCCAAGCGATTGAGAGGGAGGAGTGGTGCACGAGGCGGCGGACGCGCACGCAGCAGGCACCTGCCCTGATGGAACAGGCAAGCGGGAAGGCCGGGGCAACAATGAGCTCTTGGCCCCCTCGCTCCCGTCCTTGCATCTACCGCACGGAAGGAATGATGGGTTGAGGAGCCACGAACACGTCCGCCACCCTGCCGCGGAGCCCCGAGCGCGCGTGTCCCGAGAGCCCGACGCAACGGCACGGGCGGCAGAATCTCCGTGGCTCTCTGCTGCCCCAGCACCGCTGCCCAGGGATTCGATGCTCGGGGACCTTGGCCGGCCGTGGATCTACATATATATATATATATATATATATATGTATAGATATGTGTGCATATGTATATGTATAGACATGTACCCAGGGGCCCACGGAATTTCAAGATCCACCGCCTCCTCCTCCCCCTCCCTCCTCCCTCCTCCCTCCTCCCTCCTCCTCCCCCTCCCTCCTCCTCCCTCCTCCCTCCTCCTCCCTCTCCTCCTCCTCCCTCCCTCCTCCTCCCCTCCCTCCTCCTCCTCCCCCTCCTCTCCTCCTCCCTCCCCCTCCCTCCTCCTCTTCCCTCCTCCTTCCTCCTCCTCCTCCTCATTCTCCTCCTCCCTGGGATCCCAGGGCATCGGTTTCCCCAGCGGCGGACATTGGCATAGCCAGGTCCCCGCCTCCCAGACGACGGGGCTGGAGGCCTCCCCACGCCCGCCACCACTCAGGGTTCGATGTCTGTTCATGGGAGCCTTGGGCGGCGACATTGAAATCAGCTTTTCCTGTATGTGGACATCGTGGGGGCCACATTTGGCCCATCTTCCTGCTCCTCCTCTCCCCTCCTGTTCCCTCTCCCCCTCCTCGTTCTCCTAGCCCTCACGAATCCAGTCCAAGTCTGGTCCAAATCCGGTCCAAATGTGTTCCAAATCCGGTCCACATCAGGCCCAAATTGGACAGTGCCGGGAGCCACGCAGGTTCCCATGGAACGGACACCGAACTCTGGGAGCTGTCATTCTGACCCGCCCAGGGGGGGGCTTTCCAACCTCAGGAGGGAACAAAAACACGCCGACACAATTCATCGTCGACTCCCCGGAAAATATTGGAAGATATGGGAAGTGGGGGGGAGGACGACAACTCAGAAAATATGGGTAAATATAGGGGAAGCCTGTTCTTTGTGTGTGTTTATTGGTGTGTCCCAGGGCCCCTTCACAGGGGGGGCCTTCCCAACCGCAGTGGAATGCGGCACACCCTGGCATGGGCCGCCGGCTTTGACCCCTCTCGACAGTTCTCGTCGATGCGATGGGCGTCCCCCCGGCGGGGTAGGGAGCACGGCTCCCCCAGTCCCAGACATCTGCGGGTATGAGTTTTGTGGATCCATGCGCGACTACCGAGGTCCCGACCCCTTTCCCGGGGCTATTTTTTCACCGGTGGCCCATTGTTGATGGTCCTGGGGCACGCAAGCGGCCCCAAGATCTAGGCCTCGTCCGAGTAGCTGGGTCGGAGGATCGCGCCACATCGCCGATGCATCGGCGATGCGGCTCGATGTCGAGCCCGATTTGTTTCCCGTCGACGTCGCCGATGCATCACCGACGTCGACGATGCATCGCCGATACATCGGCGATACATCGGCGATGCATTGGCGAAGCGGCGCGACGCGATCTTTCGACCCCATCTACTCGGACCCCATCTAGGAGGCCTCTAGAAAGCGGCCCCCAGAGGCCGTCATTGAGGAAGAACGCCCAGATTGAAGAAGTCACACCGGCGGAAGTCTGGGTCGTGTGGCCCGGCCAACGCGCCGCCCCGCCAGAATTGCCACCTCGCCCCCTCGTGGATGCAGAAGCTCGAGGTGCTCGTGGAGGACCTGAATCCGGAGAAGGCCCTGCTCCCCACTCGGGCGGGTGGTAGTGGTAGGGGGACGAGGCATGGCATTATCATACAATGTCGGAGGTCCGCGCGCATTTCTCGGATCGGCGCCGGACCCCCCTCCCTGGCGCGCGGAGCGCGCCAGGGGCTGCGCCGGAGGCGCCGTCAGGGGTGTTCAGCGCGGGTCCGAGTTTTTGCCATTATTCGTTCCCCTACTGCAGGGGGGGTGACTCAAATGGAGGTGAAGAGAAGGGCCCTAAAGGGGTCATTCACGGCCCCTTGTGAAGCCAATATGGGCCCCAAAGGGGCACCCAAGCCATCCAGTTTCGCATATGTTTCTCACATCTACCGAGTGGTGTCGCAGAGGACCTGGACCCACCCAAGGAGGATACCATCGTGGGATGTGCAATCAGGGAATGTGAGGTGTCAGCATTGGAGGAGGAGGAGGGGGAGGAGGAGGAGGAGGAGGAGGAAGAGGAGTAGGAGGAGGAGGAGGAGGAGGAGGTGGCAGATGTGCTGGAGGGGGAGGGCAAAGTTCTCGGACGTGCTTTGGAACTGTCTTGGTGCCTCCGAGGACCTCGTGGAGGTCTCTTGAGACCACGCGGAAGGAAGACCACTGAACGGCCCGGGAGCGCCAGAACCACGAGTGGCGGCAGGGTGGGGATAAGGATTGTCGGCAAGATGTCTATCCATATGCACTGCATCCTGTAGTCTCGGGCTCCCTCCCCCAGACATCCGAGGCGCAGTGGACGTGGATGAATCTGCCCCCCCCCAGGGGCAAGATTTTCATCTATATCCACTGCGCCTTCGCCTTCGAGCGCCCCTTTCCCAGACAATCCAAGAAGCAGTGGACATGGATATACAGTGGAGGTCCATGCCAAGAAACATCTTGCTTGCCTCCAGGGTACCCTGGATTTCTTGGGGTCCGATGTTTTTGCTATGGAAGCCATGACGTTCCCACACTTCAAATCGAAGGACGTCCTGGGGTTTCAGGGTTGGGTCTCTTGTGGAAGGTTTCTTGTGAACGGGCCTCCACTGGAAGCCTTGCCCTCACATATTGGTCGGAGGGAGGGATCGAAAGTTGCAGGCGCCTCTGCTGATGGGAATGGGGAGCTCCACGAGGCAGCGGCCGACCAGGAGAGAGGAGGAGCGAGGGAGGGAGGCGCCGCAAATCCGCGGAAGGACCGAGGAGGGGTCGAGGATCTGGGCTGCTGGCATTTTGCCGCCTCCCTGCGCGCGCTCTGGGGCCGCTTGCGCGTGGGGTTGGGAGGGGGCGGCGCCCTCGCCGGCGCGGTCGGCTCCGCAGGCGGCTGCCTGCGCAGAACGCGCCACCCTGCCCGGGGAGGCGCTCACAGCGACACGCCACCGTGGGGGGGCACCTCTTCGCGGGCTGGCCGTCGGGCAAGCCTGGTGGTGCCCCATGGGCCAGGGACATCCCCTCGACGTGCGCCGATCGGACCCGTTCCGCCCGCGCCCCCCAGAGCTCTCGGCCCCTTCCCTGGGGGGCCCTGGGGGTGGTGCCGATCCGATCCGATTTCGATGGCCTCCGATCCCGATGCGGTTCGACGTCGGATTCCGGTTCGGGATCCGATTTCTCTACGGAGGCCTGCTAGCTTGCCGATGTCTGCCCATTCGATTCTTCCCGACTCGGCTGCCGATTTCCCCCGATCCGATTCAGTTCGGTCGCCGATCCGACTTCTCGATTCGATTGCGGGCTTTCCTGGGTGGTTCCTCGCCCCCTGGAGCCACATCTGATGGTCCTGCGGGGCCCGATGTCGAGCCCCAGGGGCCAAGTTCGAGGAGGAGCGCCCAGATTCCAGAAGTCATCTCGTCGGAGATCTGGGGATGCAGGCATGCAGGCAGTTGTCGGGCCACGGCTCGGGAATCCAGCGGCCGTCCGGGACGATCAGGCCATCCCCGAAACGCCCCAAAGGAGTTGCAGCCGCTGCAGAGCATCCTGGGGCTGGAAATCCGCCGAGAACCCAAAAGATTCGTCCGAAAACTTCGAAAACCTCGAACCTCGAACATCGACGCCAAATGACTTTAGTCATGGACGCGTCGCGTGTATAATGTAAAATGCGTGCTGCTAGCGCGGTCCTCGGGGCCTCTGAGGCAGATGGCCGCGGATTTGGGGAAGCGGTGTTGCAAACTCTTCTCTTCCGCGAAGTGTGTACGTAACTATTTGGCCAACAGCTGAATTCCTCACGCTTCGCGGATCGCCACCAGATTTTGAGTTGTGCCCTGCAGCTAATTAGGTTTGCCCGCAGGCCCAGACAGCTTCTCTCGCCGCCTGCGCTCCTCGCTCGCGGCCGCGACCAAAGACAGGATCGCCACCAGCCCATGGAGAAACGTTGCCTACACCTTAGGCGATGCTTAAGAAAATCTAAAATTTCGGCCAGAGTCTCGATTATTCTTAACGTTTCAATGTAAATCCCAAGATTTTGATAGAAGTTCTGGGTTTTTATTCCAGTTCTGAGACTCTGAATTTCTTAACCCATGGTTTCTTAAGCATTTCGCAGGGTGTACTATAATGAAACGAAGCGGGCAAGGAAAGGGGGAGGAGCGTGTTGAGCCATCTTGGAAGTCGTTCGGGAGCATCGGAGACAGGAGAAGGTGGAGGACAACGCGGGCAAGAACTCTTTGAGCCATCTTTGGGTCTTCTTGGGATCCTCTTAGCGCCCCTTGGGGCTCTTTGGGAAGACCTATGTCCTCATAGGGCTCTGTCATGGTGTCGTGGGGCTCGCTTGGGGCCCTCTTGGGGCTTTCCTGGGACCCTCTCGGGGGCACCTTATAGCGTGTCAATCAAAGGAGTTTGCCTTCTGGGGCTATCAACATCGCGTCTGAGGACGATCTTGGGCGCTCTTGGGGTCGTTTGGGGTGCCTCTGCCAGTCATCGTGGGCCCCTCGTGGGGCTCTCTTGGGCCATCTTGGGGCCACCCTGAGGTCTCAGAAGCCCGTCGGATGCCAAAAGGCGAGAAGGCACACATCACTGATTTCCATTGGTTTTTAACGGATGTTGGCCTCTTGGGGGTGTCCCGAGTGGGCTCCGAGAGAAGTTGGAACCGTTTTGTGGCCCTTGTCGGGCCTCTTCAAGGTATGTCGGAAGCTATCTTGAACCATTTTCGGCTGTCTTGAGCCATCGTGGAGGCCATCTTGAGCCATCGCGGAAAGTCAACCTGCTACCTCGCAATACCCCCAAACAAACCTCAGGGAGGGGAGGGGGAGGGTACCCCCCCCGAATGGAAGAGAGTTTGAGAAGAGGAGAGAAGGATATCGTTAGACCACCTGATTACCCTTAAAGGGCTGGTGTGATTCAGACCTATCTTGGTATGATGCTCGAGGCAACCTCGATGGGAAAATCGAACCTCGACGCCCTCGTCGGTGCTCGAGGCTCATGGCTCGAGGTTCCCACGAGACTCGAGGCTCGAGGCCCGAGGTTCGTCTTCGAGGCTCGAGGCTCGAGGTTCTCACCAGGGCGTCGAGGCTCGAGGCTCGAGCCGAAGCTTGGCCCTCGACGCCCTCGTCAGAGGCTTGGGCCCCTGACAGCACCCGACGCCTCCGGCCGCGCCCCTCGCCCAGGACTCCGGCAGGCAGGTCTCCGACGCCTTCCGCCTGTGGCTCACGTCGATGCCGTCGCCGCAGTTCCCGGTCGCCGCGCGGAGGGGGGCAGCCACGCCCAGACATGCGTCAGTGTGCATCTTGGGCCGATCCAGTTCCATTCCGACGCCGTGCCGGTGCGGCCCGATTCGATGCACATGCCGAGCCGATGCGATCTGCCGATCCGATGCTGACTGATCTTGGAGGGAGGGCCCGAGGGAGGAGGGAAGTTGCGGGGCAAGGGGATGCGGAGGGGTTGCGGATCGCCACGAATCGAGTCAGAAGCATTGCAAGGCAGGAGTTCTCGGAGGTCCGCGCGGATTTGCCTGATCGGCGCTGGACCCATTTCGCGGCCTGCGCCAGGGTTAGCGCCAGACGCGCCAGACGCCCCAGGGTCAGATCCTCGACCTCGCCCCCCCCCCTGCTGCTGCCGCCAAGCTGACGCCCGCTGGCGGGTCTGGAGAGCACTTGCTGTTGGGTATGGGCATCGCTCCCATGTCTGCGGCCCCCTTACCTTGGCATCGCTCGGAAATGTGCATTTTTCCACCGGCGAGGACCATCGAGAAGCATCCTTGACCATTTGGCGAACAAAAACACGCACGAAACCACACAAAAACAGGGAATGCACGTCCGAGCGATGGCGAGTTACGCAGGTGTCCCAAGCCGAGGCGATCCGTGCGCGCGGGTCCTGGAGTTTCTCTTGGTGCTTCGGGGCCCGCAGGGTCGTCCAGGGGCCACAGGAGCGTCGAGAACGACTGCGCAGGAAGAGTTAAGTCGGGCATGTCCCCCTACAGGGGGATCGAAAAATAAAAGATACCCGAAAAATAATCAGAAAATAATCCAAAAATAGTCTGGGGACTATTTTTGGAGTATTTTCTTATTTTTTTGGTGCATTTTTGGGGTGCTTTTTAACTTTCGTCGAAAATCCTCCTGCAGGGGGACACGCCCGACATAAAGGAAGAGCCGGTCGCGGGCGAGATTCCTGGGGTCCAGGCACCGTTTTCCGTCCGGACGCGCTGCCTTCATGGCGGCGTCTGGCGGAGGCCACGCCGGTGATCGGGGGCGACGCGCGTCTGCTCCGGAGGTGAGGTGCCCTCGCTCTTGCTGCCAAAGCACGAGGACGTTTTGCCTGCGGTGCAACGTTCATTTGGCAAGCTGCCGTCCCAGGACGGACCTTGGCCCCGCGAAAGTCACACAGAAGTTCAAGGTCATCCTCATTTTCTTCCACTGCTCCCACACTTCTAGATGTTGTTCGAGTCGCGCGGCCCCAGGCCTCTCGACCCTTGGCCCTTCGCCCCCGTCGACTCTCGACGTGTGTCTGGGCCTGGAAGACGCCGAGCATGACGAAGCCTCGTGGCCGCCCAAATTGGGCCAGAGCAGATGGGGCCCGAGGATCGTGCCTCGTTCGGGCGCTGCGTCATGGGGAGCGCTCAATTGGGGGCGTGAAGAGACATGGGCGCGTCGTGCCCGAATCGGGCCCAAAGGGACTGAACAGTGGCACGTTCCCCCCCCCCTCTTGAACGAAGGATTGCCAAAAAAAAACCCTGCCCGAAGGATTGCAAAAAAAAACACCCTCTTGAACGAAGGATTGCAATCCTTCGTTTTGCTGCCCTCCCCTCGGGGACACCTCGGCGAGGCGGCTCGACCTGGAGCCCGCACCCGCGTCGGGCAGGGCCGGCCCCAGCGGCCCTGCCGGCGCTTTCAGCTCTGGCCCGATATCGACGTCTTCGCCAGCGTCCGACGCGTCGCCGACGCACCGGCCATGCTCGGGAGGGAAAGAAGCACACAGACACAGTGAATCGGCGCTTCCCCACAAAATATGGGAACATATGGGAAGTGGGGGGGAAGACAAAAACACTGAGAATACTGGAAAACTATAGGAATATGTTTATTTGTGTGTACTTCTTTGGGTGCTCTGGGGCCCCTTCGCATGCGGCTCGATCCGGAGCCCGACCTTCTTCGTGCCGACGTCGCGGCATACCGTCGGCGACGCGTCGGCGAGGCGGCCCCGGCCTCCGACCCCACAATACGCTCGGGCCCAGTGCTTGTGCGGGCGCGAGTGATGTCCGCAGCGGCGGCGGGGGTCGGCCTCCACGGTGCTCTGGCGAGTCCGTGGGCCGTGCTCGCTCCGATGCCGCTCTGCAGCACAGGCGGATTCGGGGCAAAACGAGGGGAACCGAAAAGGGAGGAGGAGGAGGTGGAGGAGGAGGAGGAGGAGGAGGAGGAGGAGGAGGGGGAGGAGGAGGAAGGGGAGGAGGAGGAGGGGGAGGAGGAGGATGGAGGAAGGGGAGGAGGAGGAGGAGGAGGAGGGGAGGAGGAGGAGGAGGGGAGAGGAGGAGGAGGAGGAGGAGGGAGGAGGAGGAGGAGGAGGAGGAGGAGGAGGAGAGGAGGAGGGGATGGATGGAGGGAGGGGGGGCAGGAGGAGGAGGAGGAGAGGGAGGGAGGAGGAGGAGGCGGAGGGACAAGTTAGGTGCGCTCGCGTCAACATCTGACATCCTACCCCTCCCTCCCATCCCTTACCATGGCGCTGATTTTCTCTATCCGCGGACGCGTGTCGTAGCGGACCTGTGGCTCCGCGCGCGTGTGCGTAGTGTGTGGTGGTGCGCGTGCGTGCGTGCGTGTGTGCGTGGTTGTGGTTGTTGTGGTGGTGGTGGTGGTTGGTGGTGGTGGTGTGGTGTGGTGTGTGTGTGTGTGTGTGTGTGTTGTGTGTGTGTGTGCGTGTGTGCGCGTGTACTGTGGTGTGACGTGGTGTGGCGTCTTGGTGGCTTGGTGGTGGGCCAGGTGCGTACGTGCGTGATGGCCCTGGTGGTGGTGGTGGTGGTGGCGGTGGTGGTGGTGTGTGTGTGTGTGCGTGTGTGTGTGTGTGTGTGTGTGCGTGTGTGTGTATGTGTGTGTGTGTGTGTGCGCGTGCGTGCGTGCGTGCGTGCGTGCGTGCGTGCGTGCGTGCGTGCGTGCGTGTGTGTCTGTGTGCGCGCGCGTGTGATGTGGTGTGACGCGGTGTAGCGTGGTGGTGCTGGGTGGGGTAGTGCGGTGGTGGTGGCGGTGCGCAGTGGTGGTGCGCGTGCGTGCGTGCGTGCGTTGGTGGGTGGAAGTGGCGGTGGGTGTGCGTGCGGCGGGGCGGGGCGTGGTGCGGCGCGATGGTGGCGGGCGGATGGGGGCGCGAGAAAGAGGCCCGCGCTGGGGCGAGAACGCCATCCTGAACGACGGAGGCAAAAGACCGATCCGAAAATGAGGCCCACGCTGCAGCGGGAGCACGAATCGGAACGATTCGGGAGCAGACATGAGGCCGGCGCCTCAGCGAGAGCAGCATTTTTGAACAAAAACGCAGGCGAAAACCAATGTCCCGGGAATCCTGTGTAAAAAACAGTACGCGGGGGGGGTCGAATATTCCCAGGACGCCATCAGGGAAAGAGGAGAGTAGTATTCGTATTGAGTAATTGTGGAGGAGGATGAGAGGGAGGAGGAGGTGGAGGAGGAGGGGGAGGGAGGAGGAGGGGGAGGAGGAGGGGGAGGAGGAGGAGGAGCAGGAGGAGAAAACGAAAAAGTTGGAGGAGGAGGAGGAGAAAACGAAAAAGTTGGAGGAGGAGGAGGAGGAGGAGGAGGAGGAGGAGGAGGAGGAGGAGGAGGAGGAAGAGTGGGAAAGGGCGGCGACATGCTCTGCGACGCCCGGCCCCCGGCGCGGTCGCGCCCATCTTGCGAACAGGGGGCTGCCTCCTGTCTTGCGTCGGGCCTGCTTCTCCACAGGGCCTGTTCCTCTACAGGAGGAGGAGGAGGACGATTCAAGCAATAGTCAAAAAATAGTCTGGGGATTTTTTTCAGAGTATGTTTCGGCAGCTTTTGAGTTTTTATCGTTGTTTTAATGTGTCGTCCAAATCCCCCTGTAGGGGGACGCGCCCGACTTAACTTTTGTCTTACGTCGGGCCTGTTCCTCTACAGGGGGGTGATTCAAGACATAGGCTGGGGATGATTCTTATTTTCTTCCCAACCATCCTGTGCCTGGGTCCTCGCTTTGAATAGAGAGAGAGAGAGAGAGAGAGAGAGAGAGAAAGAGAGAGAAAGAGAAAGAGAGAGAGAGAGAGAGCGCCCCGCGTCCCTCCCGCCTCCTCCCGCCTCCTCCTCCTCCTCCTCCTCCTCCTCCTCCTCCTCCTCCTCCTCCTCCACGATGTTGGCAAACCCTTCTCACGCTTCGTGGCTTCATCATAGGGAGCTCCACCTAAGGTCCCAGAGGCGCAGCTCGCATGGCGCCGCCGCCCCATTTTGGCACACCCTTCACACGTTTCGTGGCCCCACAAGGGGGGTCCACCTAAGGTCCCAGAGGCGCGGCTCGCATGGCGCCGCCGCCCCACATTGGCACACCCCTCGCACGCTTCGTGGCCCCACAGGCTCCACCTAAGGCCCCAGTGGCGCGGCTCGCATGGCGCCGACGCCCCATTTTGGCAAACCCCTCTCACGCTTCGTGGCTTCATCGGGAGCTGCTCTACCTAAGGTTCCAGCGGCGCAGCTCGCATGGCGCCGCCGCCCCACTTTTGCAGACCCCTCATATACGATTTGTGGCCCCACAAGGGGGCTCCACCAAAGGTCCCAGTGGCGCGGCTCGCATGGCGCCGCCGCCCCATTTTGGCACACCCCTGTCACGTTTCGTGGCCCCACAAGGGAGCTCCACCTAAGGCCCCAGTGGCGCGGCTCGCATGGCGCCGACGCCCCATTTTGGCAACCCCCTCTCACGTTTCGTGGCCTCATATGGAGCTCCACCTAGGGTCCCAGCGGCGCAGCTCGCATGGCGCCGCCGCCCCATTTTGGCACACCTTTCACACGTTTCGCGTCCCCACAAGGAGCTCCACCTAAGGCCCCAGTGGCGCAGCTCGCATGGCGCCGCCGCCCGCCACCCCATTTCGGCACACCATTCGGACGTTTCGTGACCCCAGACGGAGCTCCACCTGATGTTCCAAAGGCGCAGTTTTCATTGAGGTTTTCCTGGCAGTGCCGCCGGAGGGCTTGCGGAAGCAGGTGTGGCAGTTTGCCACGCGCACGAAACGGTGCAGGAAGGAGGCGGCGGCCCTCGCCACGGAGCTGCGCTTCACCGAATTTATCCGCGAGGCTCGATCTGGGGAGCAGCCCGCCCGAGCCTCGCCGTCTCGTGACGGTCTGACTGTTTGTTTGGCCTCGCGCCGCGGGCGACCCGCGCGCGAGGCGACCAGCGGGCGTCGCGGGAGAGCTTCGCTCGCCCCCGTCGCCGTTGGCTGGCTGATAGCGGCCACAGCCTTGCCCGCTATCAGCCAGCCAGCTAGCTCTCTCTGCTCCGCGCAGCGGACTGCCCGCGCGCGTCGCCAAGACCCCTTCCGCGGCGGCCAACGCGCCGCGCCCGCAGCCTTGGACATGGGCGCGCACGGGCAAAGAGGGAAAAACATAACGGGAAGGAAGCGGGCGCGATCTTCGTGAGGAGCGTGCCGACTTGGGCGTCGCGGCGTCCTGGCGTCGCTGTCGGTGTTCCAGGGGACGCTTCCTGCGGCGGCCACGCTCCGTGTCACGAGTATTCGGGGCCAGGCATACATGAACCATTGGCAGTCGTATGTGTATATAAACATACATACACACATACGAATGTATTCACACACATATATACATATATATAGATATAGATATATACACACACCAGAAGTGGCCATGCTCGCATTCATTCCAATATACCTACTCGCACGCATACCCATTCACACTCAGTCTTTCTCGCGTTCAGAATCATCCGCGCTCAGACTCTCGCAATTCGGCTTATCGTTTTCGTTAGTGTTGTACGCCCCGCCACGCAACCCGGCGCACTCCTCATGCGGTTCGTGGCCCCATAGGGAGGGCCACCGAAGAATATATTCACAATTGCAGCACTCACAATTGCATATGGTTGGGCCGTTCGCCTGGCCAGTTTTTTATATTGAAAACTAGTTTGAACATGTTCTGATTTTGTTTATTTGACATCCAGACCCCGCCAGAGGGAGGACCTGCCCGACCTAAGTATTGCCTTTCTGACCCCCTCTGGCCACCTGGCAGTTGGAGCCGGCTGGGTGTCTGAGGCGGCCCAGCATCGTTTCTGGCGAACAGGAATTGTCGGCGAAGTTCAGAGTTCCAGGCTCGAGGATGTTTCCTGTTATTCTCGGCCTCCCACGAGCGTTTTTCAGCCCAGGGACCGTCAAAACTGGATCCTTGCCGAAGAGCTGCACCACGTGGGCCTCGGGAAGTGCCCAGGGATTTTTTTTGAGCGGATTTGGCTTCGGCCCCCCACCGTGGCCGATTTTCGTTCGGGTCCGTATCAGCTCAGAGCCTCGGGTCGCCTCCAACCTGGCGGGCAGGTCAGCGTGCTGCAGAACGGGCTGAAGATGACCAACGAGCCGCCGAAGGGCACGACAACCGCGCCCCCCCCGGTCAGCCCCAGCACCAACACCAACATCGGCGGCGTGCCGCCACCGAGGAAAGATGATCCCGCTCTCGGTGATGGTGGTAGTACTAGTACTCGGGCTGCGCAGGTGGCCGCAATGGTAGTACCAGCGCCAGAATCTAGGATCGCCTTCTCCCGATGGAGACGAGCCCCCTGTGTTGGCGTTGGTCCCCAGCTCCAAGCCTCCAGCGCTGCGGTCCCCGTCCTGGTCTTCTTGGTTGTCAGGTGTCCTGCCGCTTCTCTCCCTTCTGCCCGCGGCCTGGGCGTCGCCACTCTCGTGAGCTCCCGGGGGGTCGAGGAGCTCTTAAGGGGTGTCGAGCGGGGAGGTGTCCTATTTTCGCAGGCCCAGGAGAGACCTCGCCCTCGCTGGGGGCCTGCGGACTGAGCACCTGGCGCTCCTGTCGTGGGAGCCGGGGCAGCTCGGCGGAGAGACGTCCCGCGCGGACACTTCTTACTCGGGCGCTCGCAGTGACAGGGGGCTGATCTGATTTCAGGGCGGGTGTGACGTGGGGTGTCTTGGAGGGTGCCGGGTGGTCTGGACAGAAGGCCGCCCTTCCATGGCTTGCCTGGGGCTGGGGACGTCTAAGGAGGAGGAGGAGGAGGAGGAGGAGGAGGAGGAGGAGGAGGAGGAGGAGGAGGGGGAGGAGGAGGAGGAGGAGGAGGAGGAGGAATTTCTCGTCTGGCAGGGTTGTGCCGCCCCCCCTTGCTCACGAAGCCCAGAGTAGCCCTCGCCCGCGCTGGGGGCCGGCCAACTGCACACCTAGCGTCACTCTCCTGGGCTCCTGGGAGGCCCAGCGGAGGGACGCCCCGCGCAGGCCCAGATTGGGCCTCGGCCTCGCGGGGGGCCTGCGAACTGAGCACCTGGCTTGCATCCCTCGGGCGTGTGCATGCTTCTTGGCGAGGCCAGCCCCAGAAGATTTGGACCACCCCGGAGCGTCCGAGCGATGGCAAGAAGCTTTCGGGCCGCTCGGCTTCTGCACCGGGCACAGTTGAACGCAGGGGACTTTAGAGTTTTCGAGGAAGAGCGAGCGGCATAAACGCTAACTTTCTGGAGCCCGCGCGGGTTTCCTGGATCAGCCCCGGATCCCCCTTCCTGACGCGCGAAGCGCGCCAGGGACGGCGGCGAACGCGCCGCCGGTGGGGGCTAGCGCAGACCCAAGAACTCCGCGCGGACCTCCGAAACTTAGTGTGTGGCGCTTTGGTTCCTCAAAGCGTGTCGTGGCGATGGAGCCTTTCTCATCGACGTGTCGTGTCCAGTCCTCTGTTGTCTGCGGCGAGCCTGAGGGAGCAGTGAGGAGGGGCGGGCCTCCTCAGAAGGCTCGGAAGTCTCCCAGCCTTCTGCGAGGTTGTCTAAGCCTTCCTCAAAGACACCGACAACTTCCCGGAAGGCGCGTTGGCTTTGAGATTTGCCGCCGCCTTCTGAGAAGGTCTTCTCCTTCTCGCTTCCACCCCTCGCTCGCCGACGACGTGAACCTCTGCCTCGTGCCTCGCGTTCGTTCTCTTCTTCTGGCGGTCCTCCCTTGCCAAGTACCCCATTTCATCGCTGGTCGTCCCGACGCCTTGCCATGGTTTCATTACGCGCATGTCGTGGGAAGCATTTCGATTGGGGCATTCATGTTGTCCCACCAGAGGACCATGGAAAAAACAAGTTAAACTCGGGACGTACTCTGTAACGCACAGCAAGTTCAGCGACCTCTATGCGCGCCAGGAGCGTGCCGAGGAATCAACCGCATGGACGGACACTGATGACGCAGGGTGCAAGAAGTCGCTGGAGTCCACGAGTGGGGGGGGCATCGGTTAGGGGAAGGCACGTCGTCAAACCTCGGAGCTTGACTCATCGTGTTATAGCACCATCGTCTGGCGAAGTCTGGTATTATGGCATGGTGAAAGTATCATCAATGGGCTTTGGCGCGCAATGTGGATTGACTGATTTTTAGACAAAGGCGAAACATAGAAGTCTGGCAAATGTGGTTACAAAAAAAGTCAGGACAGGAAACGTAGGGGTAGTCATGATTCCAACATATTGCAATCTAGCGTGACACAAGTCAGCTCTCGCTTGAAGATAGACGTCGGCTAGCACGGGCCACCACATGTTGAATGTTTGCAGCTGCGTGGGATCAAGCAGTTCCTGCCGCTACCTCCGAAGCTCTCAAACTTTACAACTTTTTAGCCGCCGCTGTTAACATCGGTTCTGATGGCTGCCCCCTCCCAGGCGCGTGGCGTTCCTGGTTGACCAGCAGCCTGTTGCCACAATCGGTCTTCGTCTGGTAGAAGAAATTACGAGAAGCCATCTCCTGGAACGCCTGGCCAAGCAAACGTTCATCATGGATCGCATGGACCTCCTGTTCGGACCGAGGGTTGCACCCGCCGCTGAGAAATCGTAAGTGAATCGTCCGACGATAATCGTAAAGTGCATCGTCCCGAGCTACAAAGATGGCGGTGGGCCGTGATGCACCATTACAGGAGGCGTTCAATGCCCGTATCCGAGTCACCAGGGCCAGCGCGGAGATCAGCGATATTAAACACGAGTTCGACCGGTCCAACAAAAACGTGCCAGCTGCTCGAGGAGCAGGTGAACCAGGTCAACCTGGTTCGAGACAATTGAGAGGATAAACACGCTGTTAGACACCGCAATATCGCGAAACACAGCCAGAACCGAGGAGTCCGCCAATAACGCGTGGATAATCCTTTGTCACGTCGGTATTCGCGCAGGCGCCGCCTGGGTGCGCTCAGGGATGTCTGCTTCACACACGGCGCCAGCGCGAATC